TATGTTGAGTTATATAATGTCATACTTTACCCTATTTAAATAATAGTTTTTTTTAGGTAAGACAGGGATCAAGCGCGTAACAAAACAAACAGTAGGGACCAAGCGCGTAACAAAAACAAACAGTAGGGATCTTCCGAGTTAAAAAAATAAGTTAGGGACCAATCGCGTAAATTACCCCAAAGCATAGGGACCATTTCTGTAATTTACTCTTTTTAAAAACATACCCAATAGATTGATAATCTAGTTGATTATCAAGTATCACTTAATCAAACTATTTTGGATAATCACTTTATTTTATTTAATGACAATTATCTAAATCTTGAGAATAGAACAAAAACACACCTTCATAGACATTCAACCTGGCATAAATGTTGATAATATGTTTGTTTAGTTAAAATGCGAGACCATTGGATATGTTTTCATAGTGAAAATGAGAATCCATCTATAACCTTTTCCAGCAACTTCCTATAGATTTTAATCTGCAAAAAATAATATTATATTATATGACGACCATCTGGTATGAAAAAAGTAAGATGTGAATGTGTGAATATATAAAAGTAGGATGTTATTATGAAGAATACATGAAAGTATGATGTTATTTAAAGCTTTGTATTATAAAGAGCAGTAAATATCATCATTGAGAGATGATATATACCCTTTCAATCACCCATACATACAGATAGAGGGGTTACCATATATTTGAGAGATGAATTTGAAAATCCCTTTGAGTCTGGTTACCATGATTGTAATGGTATAAGGAACAATGAAAGCTTAAAATCGATTGTAGAAATAAAAGTAACAAAGCAGAAAAATGACAAAAACCCAAACAAATGTGATTTCTTTCCGTATCAAATGAACCAAGCATTTCATCAAACTGTTGGCATGCAAATGCCAAAAATTTTCAAACGGTAACATCGGCCAAAGAAGAAATCACAAGCAACAACAGATGCAAGAGTAAATTAATGAAATAAAAAAAATTAGGTCAAATAGATGAAAAAAAGAGAGAGAATTGGAAAACATGTCACCTGAAAACCAATGACTCAGGAATGGAAAACCGGAGAGATGAATCGATAATGGAATGCTCTTGATTTAGCATCAACAGTGTACAAAAAAAATCTAATCCAATAAATCTTGACTTAATAAACAAAATAATAATATAAGTAAAAGTAGTTTGCTTACGATAAAACAACAGACAAAACTGATTGGATTCTCTTCACAAAAAAGACGCAGCAGATCAATTCTAAATTTAAAGGAAATATTAAATGGTACAAATGCATAACAACATTCACATAATTTAGACGAAATGTTAACTAATTAGGATTCTACATAATCTGGACACAAATGCAAATCAAATCAACATAGAAACCATGCCTTCGTTAAAATTTTAAAAGAAGATTATATGTAAGCTTACAAGAACTTGGTAATTGACTCATGTATTACACGTACATAAGAACACGAAATTGATTAATGTTCTTGAAAGAAAAACATTGATAAAAATCAAATCACCTCACTGAAAATCTTCGTTGTAGAAACTTAGGTTCGTTGGATATGAAATTGTAATTTTATGCAACTCGGTTCCTTGTATATATAAAGCCTACGCATAAGATTAAATTTTGAATACGATTTGTTCCTGATTTTTTGCGATTATGTTGAACATATTTTCAATTTAGGATAGATATGATTTGCGTTTCAAAATTTGAACGTGATTTCAAATTGTAACCAAAAATAGTGGAATGAAATTAATAACATAGGGAAGAAAAAACAAAGCACCCTTAAAAGATGCCATGTGGCAAATAGGGATGCTAGAAAATGGACATGCGGCATATTTAAGTTTTGTTTATTAGGAGAGGTAGAGGTAGAGGTAGAGGTAGAGGTAGAGGAGGTCTATATATAATATATATATATATAATATCTAATAATAATATATATATATATAATATATATGGCGAGGTTCAATAGAGAACCATAATTAATCAAGGAACCAAGGAGCCAATCTTTTTTTCAATTTTTACAACTTATTTTTTATCAAAAAAAAAACTAAAAATACAGAAATTCATAACTTTTTATCCTTTTTCCAATGATATCAAATTCGATTTTTTTTACGTCAAATTCACAATGTGAATCTTTGAAAATTCACAACGTGAATCCGGATTCACACGGTGAATGAGAAAAATATTTTTCACATTCACAATGTTAATATATGAATTTAGATATTTTTAGATTTTTTTTTCGATAAAGAATAAGCTCTAGAAATTGAAAAAAAGATTTGGTTCCTTGAAGAACCAATAATTATGGTTATCTATTGAATTTTTCTTTATATATATATATATATATATATATATATATATATATATATATATATATATATATATATATATGGGGATAGGGAATACATTACATACACACAGCCCCACCTAAGCTTAGGTACTAAACCTGTAAAATATGTCGTTTTAACATGCTAAATATGCTCGGTTTGGGTTCACTTGGTAAATATATCATCCTCCATAACATTTCTTTCTTTCATTATCGTTTTACCATCTCTGTTTTCTTTCCTCAATTATCGTTTATTACTTCACCCAAGTGAACATTACTAAACTCTAAACCTAAACCCTAAACCCTAAATTTAAACCCTAAACCCTAAACCATAAACCCTAAACCCTAACCCTAAACCCTAAACCTAAAATTCTAAACCCTAAATCTAAACCCTAAACCCTAAACCTAAACCCTAACCCTAAATCTAAACCCTAAACCCTAAACCCTAAACCCCAAACCTAAACCTAAACCCTAAACCCTAAACCCTAAACCCTATTGTGTTGATCTTGAATTTACATCTTGAAGTATTAACCGTGAATCCATTAACCGTAATCTTTATATAGTAAAACAATGTATTTTCAAGAGGTTTAGTACCTAAGCTTAGGTTGGGCTGTAATGTATATTCCCTTTTTCCATATATATATATATATATATATATATATATATATATTTACTAATTTATAAAAGAAATCTTATTATTTTTATAAATAGATTCAATATAATAATAATATTTTTTTTAAGACATTCAAATCTTTAAGGTTAAAGTACAACTAATTGTAAATAAAATAATACTAAAATTTACTCGGTCTCACATTGTTAATCAAAGCCTCATATCTCGGTCGTCCCCGTCTCCAGATTTCGAGCTCTACCTATCAACGCCTTTCTCCGGTATTTTCAACTTCCTCCTTTCTCCGGTATATTCAACTTCCTCCCACCCTGACTTTCACCATTATTCGGCACGGGCTCCGTTTCTATGAAATCGCCTCTATTTCCACCTATGCGTATTCTCATTACCAGACAGTGATCGGAATATCTGATCCACCTTCACGCTATCAATACTTGGTTTACACACTCCCTCAATAATTCAATCTCTCCCTTCCTTCTCTCTACAAACCCTAAGCCGCCGCCACGACCACCAACATCGATCACCACATCCGCCACCACCATCACCGCTGACCGCAGTAGCCCACCTCACTACCGCTGTCAATATGCTTCATGGTAGGTTCTTCTTCGATCTCCGGTATGCACTTTACCACCATCAAACACGCTTTTCTTGTAAATGGGTTAGATGTTGGGATTTTTTTCATATGGAACCTTTAAAACTGTCTGTGAATGTATATATCTTTTCGCACATGTATGTATTAAATTTGTTTCTCCTCTGTTTCTCTTATTTTTTTTGATTTTCGATATGGAACCTCCACCTTTCACTGATCTTTCACGCAGCTATACGAATCTCATCTTGAAACCTTCTTATAAAGCTTGGTTCAACTCGGATGCAGAATCAACAGACGAAGTGATGCTCCGTTAGTTCAAGAAAGAGGTGAAAGAGCGGATTAATGTAAACAACTGCTTCAATTCTATTCTTACACAGAGATTCTCTAGCTATTTCTTTGTTTTTCTTCATTAATTGCTGAAAAAAACCCCGAATTTGGGGTGGATAGGATGGGCGGCGAAAGCGGTGATGATGTTGTAACCGAAGGTATTGAATCAAGGAAGGCTGAAGGCGGCGACGCCGTTACCGTTAACCTTAGAATTGCTTATTTATCGCCAGATTAATTAAAAAAAATGAGGTTACTGTTGTTTTCTTTACAGGTTTACAAAACATGCACATCAAATGTTTGATGATATGCCTCAAAGAAAGTATGACCCAAGTTTAGTACACTCATTTCTCAATATGTATCAATTTGGCTTTCCAAACTTTCTTTGGTTGTTTTTTTATATTTCCAATTTGTTTTAGTAGTGACAAGATTATACCTTGTGGCTATTGGCTTTATAGTTAATTAATATACTCATCACTTTTTGCAAAGTACAGCGAAGTCCATGCATATCGGCTGTCTTTATCTGAGGACACAAAGGCACTAAATCAACTGGTATGTTTCTCTTACAACATTTCATTTTGAAAAATGAAATGAATGTTCCCAATATATTTGTCATTTGGCTGTAATCTAAGTTCATCTAACTCGATCTAGAACTTTTTGTACATTGGATTATGAATATCTCTATATACTAATTTCTTATATATTTGTAGAATACTCTTATCCAAGAAGGCAGGGAAATGGTATCAGTCCTCTGTGCATACACGAGTTGTGTCAAAGCACTTCCTGAGGTTTGAAGAAGAAAATTCTTGAAAAGTTTTTTTTAATAATAACTCTATATAATGCAAAAATTTATTGCCAACTTCCAGATTCTATGAAGGAAAGCCAGGCTGATTTGTATCTAGAAACTTATCAGGTAATGGACTTGGAAATGAGTCGCTTCGTGAGATACAAAGATGGCAAGCATCACCTGCAGCTAAAGTATGTGCCTTGACTCTATCATTTTCCAATATTGCCCCTTTTATTCCACTGTAACTCATCTTTTATCATTTTCCAATATTGCCCCTATTATTCCACCGTAACTCATCTTTAGTCCATGTTGAAATTACTTAATGTTTTGGTTCACTTGATCATCTAAAAAAATGCAAAAGTCAGCATACTTAATGATTTCTCTTGGTATAAAAGGTAAGCTTAGTATTTTTCATTTATCATGCTACTCCAATAATTATGAATAAAGTTGAGTGAAATCGTTTTGCTATCTGGTGGCAATATGAGGAAACCAGGTGGTCTTTTTGGGAATAGTAGCTCTGAGATTCCTGCAAATGATTTGAAACAATTGGAAACCTTTTTCTACAAGCTTAGTTTCTTCCTGCACATACTAGACTATTCAGGTTAGCTATTTTTTGTATTCTGATGAATAATTTTTTTTTTGGTTTGATTATTGATCATATCATTGCTAAAATAACCTTTTTCTTTTTAGCATTTCAGTTACGATTGCAACGTTGACAGATCTTCGTTTCTTATGGTTTAGAGAATTTTATTTGGAATCTTCTCGTGTCATTCAAGTAAGCCTTAAAATTAAGTAATAAATATATATATCAGCACGATTGTTTACTGATCTGATCTGCAACATTGAAGCCTTAAATCCAGGTGGCGATTATTCTTGGTGGACGAAATTACTTTTGTGGTGACACATGGGTAACATCAAATTGTCTTGATAGAACTTCTTCTTATAAAATTGGCTAATGCAAGTGTACTTTAAATAATGGGAGAATTTCGTATATGCCCTTATTAAATGTCAAAATATCATATTTACCCGGCCTAACATTTAAATATCGTATTTGCCCTTCTTAATCTTTTAAAATATCAAATTTACCCAAATTTATTTTTTTAATAGTTTATAATCCCTTTTTATATTTTTAAACCATTAAAATTGAAAAAGTAAATAAATGGACCATATTGCCATTGCCTTTTAAGTACTTTCAAAATGGCATACGGTCAAAAGAATTTACCTCTTGTCGTCACTAGTGTTAACCTGTCACCGTCCTCCTTCTTGCCTTCTCCCAGATTCCATCAATTCAAAAGAAATCCCTTAAGAGTTGTTGCAGGTTCTTTATGTTTTAATGAACTCAAAGAAATACAGGAAAAAAGTGGGGACAATTACAGGTGAAAATGGAGTCTTGGAGCCGGAGAAAGTTAATTGGTTGGAGGATTAATTTTTTTCATGAGAAACGATAGTTTCTAGGGTTATTAAAAAAGATTTTTGGTATGCACCACAATAACAAAAAGATATAAGATTATAGAAGAGATCAAATGGATCTGGTCTTGAAAGTTTGTAATACCTTGTCTTTTTAAGTTATTGGAGTGTCATAGTTAAAATTAGCCAATCAATATCCAAATCAACACCTAGTTAGTAGTTAATAAACGAACAAATCCTTGTTTTGCATCTGTAGCCTCTGTTATTAATTTGGTGGTCTTGTTTTATTGTCACTTATAAAGAAAAGACGTATTAATATACTATCCAGGTATTATTTGTTATGGGTTAGATTACCTGATGTTGAGAAAAAAACAGTTTACTAATTATTAAAAAGGCCGAAATTTTGGAAATAATTGTGCCAGTGTTTTTAGTTTTAGATAAAAAGTGTTTATGCAGGTTATAGACATGGAACAATGAACTTCAAGCATTACGAGTTCAACTGTATCTCTTTGACTTCTTTAGAACTGATGGAATACGGGAAAGGCAAGAAGGATGACGGTGACATGTTAACACACTGGCGACGGCAAGAGATAAATTCTTTTGATCGTATGTCATTTAGAAGGTAACTATAAGGTAAGGACAATATGGTCCATTAATTTTTTTTTTCAATTTTAATGATTTGAAAATATAAAAAGGGATTATAAACTATTAAAAAAAATTTGGGCATATATGATATTTTAAAAGATTAAGAAGAACAAATATGATATTTAGATGTTAGGCCGGGCAAATATGATATTTTGACGTTTAATAAGGGCATATATGAAATTCTCCCTTAAATAATTGTGAAGTATATTCCAAAGGGTTAATTTGGTAATTATATTTTCATATATGAACAGTATGATGGCAACTATGATGAATTCCATTCTACTCCGATCAACATTAGGAAAATTAGGTGTTGAGGCACGTCTACAATCATCATGTTGTATGCCAGAAGTTTCTGAACCTTACAACAAACAAAGATCAATTCGACATTTAGAAAAGGGTATTGTTGTGATGGTGGTAAAACTTGAGTTAGTGAAAACAGAATCTGAAAGTTTATCATCACAGAAGGTAATAAAATTTGAGAAAAATAAGAAACTAAATGTGATTGTAGGTTAAAATGAAACAACTAAAAAGTGGTTGAGTTGATATTGTAAGCCTAAAAGGTTTTGTATTTATAATTTCCTATTCCTAATGAAATATATAATGAATCAGGTCCACCTCCTACCAGGAAACTTGCAACTTTGTTGTATAGACTAAAGAAGAACGCATGTTGTTGCTAAAATTAAGAGTTACTAGACTAAAACAACAATGTAGTGAAAGCAGAAACTGTAAAAGTGTGCTTAACTCAACGAATGATATTTTTTATATGTTTTATTTGTTTTATTGTCTTATATTTTTGCTTATATCAACTGCTCTTATAAATATGTTGCATAAACTAAGGTGACATTTTGTTGCATAATTTAATCATAACATTTGATGTTTTTCTTTTCTGTTCACTAGAACATCTTTCTAATGGGTATCTTTTTTATTCATGTTAGGTTAATTTCTCTTCGTGCCTCACAAAGCGTAAATGAATGACACATTTTTACCCTTGTATTGTATGTTCACAGCTATATGCAAAATAAATTAAATGCAAAATAATATTTGACTTCTAAAAAAAATGTCGTTAAGGAACAAATCTAGAGAAAAAATATGACATGCTTTAAAAAACGAAATGTCAAAAGAAATTATTTGAAAAAAAGAAACTAATTAACGCTCAGAAAGTATTTGCCAAAAATGAAACTAATATTCGTCTGTTCATAAAAACCCTAAGAACTTTATAATGGCGTTGCAATTTGGGATAATCAACAACATACCAAAACAATGTGTCCGACCTTTGTGGAATGCAATCGAGTTCCGATACATTTCATGTTCTTTAGACGATGACATGTTTCAGTATAGAAACTAATCGGTGAAACAAATATAATAGCCAAAAGAAACTAATTGGCGAAAGGAAACTAATTGCCAAAAGAAACTAATCGCTACCGCAAAACCGATTAATAACATTATGAATATGTTTTGTGTTCCTTGAAATATAACATGTCTTCCGAATAAACTAATCGTTGAAAGAAACTAATTGTCGAATGAAGTTATTCGTCGCCGCAGCTTTGCGCGGGTAGACGGCTAGTATATATATATATATATATATATATATATATATATATATATATATATATATATATATATATATATATATATATATATATATATCGATTTTGAACCGAAACGTTAAGAGGAGTATACTGATTGTATTTATATATGCAAATAATTGCTGTAATAACTATTTAAGCATATATAAGTATTTCCTTCCTATAATATTTAACAATTAACGTAATTAACTTTTGACCTTCCAAATTCATATAACTTCAGATTAAATTACTTAATTTTCACCTTATAAATATTGATCTAATCTTCATTTATCCTTCATAGTCATCTTAAGTTCTTAAAGATGAAAACTCTCGCTCTTCTCCATCTCCTACTCACACTTTCGGTTTCTCTCTCTACATCAAACCACCACGGCGATGGCAGTAGTGGCAGTGGAAACCTTCAAGGTTTTACAGTTGATCTTATTCATAGAGACTCTCCACTATCACCTCTCTACAACCCAACTCATTCCCGATCAAACCGAGTTCAAAATGCTTTCAATCGGTCCATTTCTCGAGCTTCCACTCTTTCAAGAAGGGCAGGTTTTACCACGAAAATAGAAGCAGACATTTTTGAGGTCCCAGGGGAATACGTAATGTCAATCCAGATTGGAACCCCACCCGTAAAAGTTCTTGGAGTTGCTGACACCGGGTCCGACCTCACGTGGGCCCAGTGTCAACCTTGCCAGAACTGTTACAAGCAAGTCAATGTGCCCTATCTTGTACCCTCTTCTTCATCCACTTATCAACAACTATCATGCCAATCAAAGGGATGTGAAGCCCTAGAAGAAAACCAATCATCATGTGACTCACAAAACACGTGTCAATACAAAATGATGTATGGGGATCGCTCTTACACATCAGGTGACCTTGCTATGGACACTTTTTGGTTCGGTTTAACCCCTATGAAAAACGTGGCTTTTGGTTGTGGACATGATAATAACGGCACGTTTAACGTGAATGTTTCTGGGATCATTGGTCTTGGTGGCGGCCCACTTTCTGTAGTTAACCAATTAAATTCCGTCGTGCAGGGTCAGTTTTCATACTGTTTGACTCCACAGTTTAACGACATCACAAACCAAACAAGCAAGATTTACTTCGGTGATCTTGCAAAAGTCAACGGGTCAAACGTCGTTTCAACTCCCATGATACGAAAGGAGCCATCGACGTACTACTACCTTACATTACAAAGCGTGTTGGTTGGAAACACTAGTGTGTCATACGAGCGATCCTTTTCGAAAAATAAGGTTGTCAAAGGTAACATTATAATAGATTCTGGTACGACACTGACACTTGTCAACCGGGATTTCTATAGTGCGTTTACTTCGGTTTTGACGGATGCCATTGGAGGTCAAACTGTTGAGGACCCACAAGGATTGTTTGAGCTTTGTTACAGGGATTTAGAATTGACATTTGTCCCGAAGATGACCTTCCGGTTTGATGGTGCTGACGTGGAGTTGCCGGTGACGAGTACTTTTTTGGAAGTGCAGAAAGGTTTGAGTTGTTTGACGATTGTTCCGGTGGATGATTTGGCTATTTTTGGGAATTTGTTACAGCAGAATTTTTTGGTGGGGTATGATTTGGTAAATGAGAAGGTTTATTTTAAGCCTACTGACTGCATGAGACATGTAGTTGACTAACATGTAGGAGAATTTTATCTCCGTTGACTAAAATAATACGTGTTTGAAGTTACTTCTATGGCTTTTTGTTCCCTTGTCTCTCTTTCGCCATTAACATATTTGTTAATTCCGTGTATGACATTTAATAAGTACTAACATAAACTTTGAATATTACAATAATCAGGTATTAATTAACAAATTAAAAAATATAATGTTATTCATATAGCAATCACTAACCACTATAATATAGGTGCCTACTCATCACCATATACCACATTCAACCACTACAAGGTTGAGATACTCACCGGTATATCCTTTTATTTTTTATTATTAAAATAAAAAATATTTAATAATTAATTTATTAAATTGTAGAGAGAGATGGAGAAAGATAGAGAGAGATAGAGAGATAAACAAACTGATTGAGTGTGTTGGTCCGTGTTCCCCATCACAATTGACACGAAAATGCATCACCACTAACCACCACAATCACCCAAGATGGTGCTCACATTCGTGGTTAGTGGCCATATAGACCACGAAATGTTTCGTGACAAACATACCATATGGTCTAATATACAAGAATTTCAAACATATACTACCTACAAACAGAATAAATTATGTAGCATAAAAAATAAAAGTACAATAAATTAAATAGTATGATACGGAAATAATAAGAGGAAAAAATATAAATAAAATTATGCTTTTCATAATAAACGATAAAATAGTAAGCTAATCAATACTAATTTCAGCTTTATTTTTAATTTTATGTTTATCTAAAAAGTGAACGAATTTATTTTTATTTTTATGTTTATCAGATTAATCTGATGGACACCCAAGTTCTAGGATTTATCTGATAGTTGACAGTGGGTTAGCTTACTATTTTATCGTGAGTTACAAGGTATCGTGAGTTTCAAACATATACTCTCTCTCTCTCTCGATTAAGAATCAGTGAGTTACAAGGTATGTTTTTAATTCTTTTTCTCAATTCGAATTTCATCATCAAGGTTTTAAGATTGTTCTTTTTTGTACAACAGATGCAGATATAAACTAATGAAAATAAGGTCTTGAGCCAAGCTTAAAGGGTCTTGTTTGGACAATTTTTTTTCCTTTTAAATTAGAGCTACCAATGTTCTTTAAAAGTGCATATAATCGAAGTAAGTACATGTAACACCCGCAGATTCGGGATAGACAATTATGCTATAATAAACGATAAAACGGAGTTTTTTTTTTTTTTTTTTTTTTTTTTTTTTTTTTTTTATAAAAGATTATTAGGATAAATAATCTTATAGTATATGTGACAAAGATTTCGAACATATAAAGAACTCTGAAATTCAACTTCGTATGAAGAAGTTATGCTTCTTCGGAGTTTCGCAATTAACCAACACGACTATGCGCGTCGAAAAAAATGAATTTTAGATAGGTTGCTTATTAGCCTAAGTAATTTAAACGAAAGTCGTAGTAATCGTAAAACCGAGAGTGTACATATAGAGAACATCCAAATATGACTTCATATGAGGAAATTATAATTTTCGAAGTTTCAGCACAACAGTGTGGACACAAAAATCAAAAATCAAATCGGTTGATTGTTAGCTGAAACAATCTAAACAAGAATTGAAGATCTTGTAAATATGAGCATATCCATATAAAGACATTCGAGAACGGAGTTCGTATGAAAGAGATACGAATTTAGCACGAACCTTAACAGTCTAAACCAGTCTAAATATGAATTTTAGTTAGAGCGAGAATTAGCTGTTGAGACCTTAATGATAGTTGTAGAGCTCGTCAACAGGATTCTGAAGATATAAAGAACGTCGAAAACGAAGCTCGTATGCGAAAGTTATGGCCGTCCGAAGATCTGTGAAATTTTACCTATTAGGATGATGTGGCACCACCAGGAGGTGCCATGTGGCACGGTCGACAACCTCTTTCCTCCAAGAGACACGATGTCATGGCACCACGAGAAGCGGATACGTGGCAACATATATTGGTGACACATGGTGCGTTCTACAAGACGGCTGACAAGGGACGTGGACGAAGCAGTGCATGACCCGTGGCGGTAGGGAAAACGTCCATGTCACCAGACACGGCGCCCCCCTCTGAAAATCCTATAAATACCTTCGATTTTTAGCATTCTTCGCACACAAATTAATCCCCTCTTTCTCTCTCTCTCTCTCAAACGTCTTTCGTTTTTTGAGTCTAACTTTTCCGGACCTCTGAACATTTTAACGGGGCTCTGAGATATCTAGAAGCTCGACGAAGAGAAGCTTTCGAGTTGAGATTCTGCCCATGCAATTTCTCGGTTTTCGCTAAAATTCTTGTAAGTTAAGCTGCACTTATTTTATTTCAGTGTAACTTATATTTATATTCATAATCGTTTTTATGAATTTATAAATAAAATTTATCAATGATTCCATGTCATTATACTGATTGATCTACTTACTGGGATGATGCCTAGGTTAGATTTAGTGATGTGTTTAAAATGAGATTTCCAAACATTATACTTTGTATACCACACGAACCCTACCTTCGATATGATCTTACCTGGTTGCTCCTTACTTGATAGATCTTGATGTAGACATTGGGATTATTGAGGAATCTAGATGTAACAACCAGA